AATTGGGAAAAAAAAATTAAGACATCTTGATATTAAAAATATTAGAATATTTAATAATAATTACATGATAAATTTGATAAATTTAAAACTTACATTTTATCTCACATATTTAATGATTGTGATTAGATATTTTGATATTTTTAATGTTAGGACATCTTGATTTTTCCTTTTCTCAAATAAACTTTTGCCTATTCATTACACTATAATTTTTGCTAACTTTACTATGAAAATATTTAACTCAAGTAGATACTCTAGTCTGCCTAAACTTAATCCGAATTAATTATTTCGTGCACCAACAATTTCTTCTTCAATCAACAAATAATTAGAAATGTATATATGTTGTAAATCGTAATTAAAAGACTAATGAAGATGGTTAGGGTAGGGGGACTTTAGATAATCTATTATGAGAAATTGGAGAGGGAGCAGGAAAGTGAAAAGTCAGAGAGTGGGAAGAAATAGGAATATTGTTGGGCTTTGAGGAAACGACAATGGCCTAAGGGAGGGATGGTGTGGAGGGAGTGACAGGGTTGTAATAAATGGCGACAAATATTTGGAAGTGGACGAACATTGCCCACACGTGCACATTCATTTCTTTCGCCTTATTTTGAGCGTTTGGGTTATGAGAAATTTTAATTTTTATTGCCGATCGATGTTTGTGACTCTTCCCAAATGTGATTTCTATTCAGATATACTTATAATGAAGATATTGCATTTTCCTTAGATGCAATATTATAAATTAGGTATTAAGAAACTTGATGAAATAGCCTTTAAAAAAAAACAAAAACAAAAACAAACAACTGACAACCATAACTTGCCTCTGGTGATTAATTAACCTAATTATGTTTTGCTGTCTTTCACCCATGTGGTTATCATGACCACATTTCTCATTGAAAAGTAAGTGAAGGCACCTTGGTTTTTCTAGTTGAATCCATGGCTTGACATTTCCTTTTCCTTTTAATGTAAATACCAACACTATCAATGTAATTTTTACTTTCTTAACAAAAAAAAAAAAAAAAAAAAAAAACCTGATTATGGTTTGCTTATAACTGAGATTGGCCTGCATTTTGGTGCACCAGTAGACAGGGCCATGGCCCATGGATCTTAATTGGATTTGAGTTTGTTATCTAGGCTTATCATATTAAGGCCAGGGTCCAAGGTTAAAACCAAAAGGTTTAATTTGCGATTGAATTTGGCCAACATGTCCAAAATCCCCCTCACTGTGATCATGAAAAATTCCTGGGTTTTAAGCCAGGCAATCCATTCTCTTAAATGGCGCGATGGTATAGAAATAATAATAATAATTATTATTTTATATAATTTTTATATATTATTAAATAAATAAATAAATTTAATATTATAAGTTTTAAATGAATAAAAAAAATTGATTATTTAAATATTATATAAGATTTTTTTTTTTTGGTTTCCCGTCCGTTATCCGGGGTTTCGCCCCGACTACTCCAGACTCGACCAGCTGTGGCGCACCAGAATGGTGGGTGGGTCTCCCAACGAAGGCTGCTACATACACAAGGTTTTCGAACTCGAGACCTTACTTAAGCTGGAACAAGCCGCTTGCCACTTGATCCAATCATTCGTTGGTAATATTATATAAGATTGTATAAAAAGATAATATAAAAGAATTATCTGTAAATCATTTTTCCTCTTAAATATTCTTTAGTTAAAAAAGGAAAAAAATTGTCAATTTTGTAAATTTTCTAGTGCTATTTTTACCGAATTACAGTATTAGGGAACAAATGCTTTACCTTTATTTAATTAAGTAATTTATTAATTAAAATTTAATAAAAATAACAAATGTTGTGAAACATATTAGACTAATAAATAGTTACTATTTGGTTTACCTATTAAAAAACAGTTGATGCCTAATAATTAATATTATCTAATACAAGTATTTTATTGGTTTAATTAAAAGCACAATCATTAATTCATTTTTGAATAACTCAACTAAATAGAGCATAAAATCTGCACTTGGGTTCCATGAGTTGAAGATTTTATGTCTTATAATAAAGTGCATCCCCCAATCTTAAAATTGGAATTTAAATTTTCGACTTTCAAGTTGTAAATTATTCAAAAAAAAAAATAAAGTATAAAATCTAACAATTTAATTAGTTTAGTAATAATTTATTTTTAATAACTTTAAAATTTAAATTATAATTTACATGATACATGTGTGAGTTAAATTAAAAAAAAAATAGAGCCATAAAAATAAATAAATATATATATATATATATATATGTATATATAAAGGAAAAAAAGAAAGGGGACACCATGTGAGCTTGAGTATACTCCTCCTAGAAGAGCCTTTTAGCTTTTTAGGGGAGGTAGTAGTATAACTTGAAAGTTGAAAAATCATGATTGTTCCACTTAGTTTAGAATGGGAAGTACGAGACACAATCATGTCTGTCTAAATAAAATCATTTTCTTAAGCTCCCGACTCTTAATTAATACAATTATGTCACCTCAATTATCCTCTCAATCTCATCACCTTTTATTTGAACTGAGGTTAAATAATCCCATCACCTTTTTTTGTTTTCACCCTTTCCTTCTAATTCTAATTTCTAATGGTGGGGTGTCCTTTCTCTTCCCTGATCTCCATTTCTCAGACCACTTATTCATTGGTCTTAGTACGGTCCACAAATCCTGCCCTTAAATCTTCAGTTTAATTGGACCACGACTTCAGCTATTTAGGACCACAACTTTCAGTCAGGACCACACCTTACTTCTGCCAATTAATCAAATTTTGGTTTATTAGAAACCTAATCAATCAATTATCATAGGTGACAAATTGTCCCCTAGCTTGTTTATTTATACAGTTACCGATCCTACTTTTTCATAAGAGTATCATACCTTAATGTTATGGACATGTGAATACATAAAACATACATATTATCTCATATATTAATCATAGAAAATATTACTAAATCAAGTTTAATTTATTTAATCAATTATCGTCCACGACTTAAGTAATATTTTTTCGCTAAAAATAAGTGACTTCGAATTCGAATCGCATGACATACAAGTGGGATGTGATAAATAATAAAAGATAATTGTTTTTTATTGTACAACTAATCATAAAAGAAAAAAAATCAACTGTCAAATATTTAATTAGACCTTCAAACATTTATTTAATTCAATCAAATTAATCTTGATTATTAATTAGGCACTGACTTATATTGTAGATCCTTTACGGCCTCAACAATACATATTGAAGTTTATTGACCTTCGTTGAAACTAATTATAATGCTTTTAGTCTAAGTTAATCAAGGGATTGCAATAACAAAGTAGAATATTGAGAAGACAAGAGAAGCCCCATACCAATGATTTGGACACATGCTCTTCACCTTGATTCATCCAACATAGAATAAACACAGCCTTTTTATATCTTCGACAATCAAACGACTAACATGATGGCATTTCTCTTCCCGAAGGAGAGTCTTACCCATGTACAGGCCTCAAAGGGAGAGCTTTGTAATACAAGTAAGAGAGAGTCAAGAAGCTGAAAAAACCCTAGAGGACCAAACCCACCGTGTCCTAAACTTCTCCGCAATGAAGCTCTTCAATCGTTTCCGCAAGATTCTCATGCGCCTTGTCTTCTCCGTACCTTCTCGTGGATCGTCATCTTCCTCCTCGGCCACCTCCAACATGGTTTCCGGTAGGCAGAAGAACTCCGACCGGTTTGATCCGCCCAAGACTTCATGCAGCTCCTACTACTCGTCAAACTCCCACTACACCGAGGCCATCGCCGATTGCATTGAGTTCTTCAACAAGTCATCTCAAGAGGGGGTTATGGAAGGTCGGAAATCTGATGTTTGGGTTTGAATTTCAGGGCTACAACGTTCTCGATTATATTAGATCTTCTTCATGATTTTACTCAAAAGTTTTAATTCTAATGTTTGTTCCCTGTTGTACATTTTTTATTTTAAATTTAATTCTGTTATCATGTCAAAAAACAGCTTTTTTGTTTGTTCTGTTTTTTATGGGCTTTTTTATTGGGCCCAAAAGGGTTAATATCAGTTTCTTATTGGATCCAAAACTTATAAGTGTTTGGTCTAATGAAAGCCCATATCAAAATTGGGTTACGAATGTAGGGATTGCCCTGTGGCACCTGTTCCTCTCCTCGAATGACTTAACTAAGTATAGACTTTAAATTTTCAATTGAAAATTTATTTTGTAATTTGGATTATAATATAAAAATTTTAAAATAATAAGTGGCTATTTTAGATATTGGGACCCTTTCCATTAAAAAGTCCTTTTGCAGCGAGACTACAAAATATTGACTCTTTTTTTTTTTTTTTTTTTTAATTTATAAAATGAGATCATTGCATTACATCTTACTTAAACATACATAGTCTGCCCATATGCTGGTAGTACACAAAGAAACTGAAAGAAACATAAACATTAAAAAAGAAGAAGATGAAACTTCAAAGAAAATGAAGTACAAAAATATAGTGAAATTTCTTTCATTCTTCTGGGTAATCATAATTATGCAATTTCCCGACTTACTTTTTCTTGGAAAAGATCCCACTAATTAATGGGATCAATGGCTTCTTCTTTCTCAAAGAAGGGTGTCTCTCGAGTCTCGCGACACCCTGAGGAACAATAACCTGAGCCAAGGAAGGTGGATTTGCAAATGTAACATATCTCTTTCTCTGAAACTCTGTTCCTTCTTCGCACTGATCAGGTGTTCGTGTCTTCTTGACTTCGAATTTTGTCGAATCCTGGACACTCTTGATGTCTTCATTCATCTCAAACTCATCAAACAGTTGCTTCTCAGTATCTCTTTGCTTCAGCTGTTGCAGCTCTTGTTTTGTTCGTTTGAGTTCTTCTTTTAGAGAAGAGAGATAGTTAGCCATTATCTTACTCTCTTCTCTGGCTCTTTGGAGGTCCTGTTTTGTTTCCTCGAGTTCGGCTGCAACAGTCCTCGTCTTCGAAGCTCCATTTTCGTTTTCACTTTGGTCATCATTCATCTATATGTTTTGGAATTAATTAGTCAATTAGGTATACATTTTGCAAGATACTATCTGTTTTTTTTTTTTTTTCTTCACAAGGAACGGGAATATATGCTTGCTTGCTAGATGACTTTGTAGGAGATTGATTCCAAGGTTTAGGTTTAACTATAATAATAATAATAATAATATGCTAAAATAGACCTTTATTCCATTTCATGACAAGGGCAACTAATTCTAACACTTGTACTCAGCCACAGGTAAGCATCTAGAAAAGAATCGGTTGAGTTGAGTGTTGATTAATACAAGTAATGATATTGATTATCAGCATAGATCAAATCATAAAAGAAATTATTAAAGAAATTTAGAAGTTGAGGGATGCTTATTTTCTGTGTTGTACACTTGTACTACTTATAACACTGTGTGAGTTTTTATTAACTATTTTTTAAAATTGTATCTAATAATAATTATTAAAATCATAGAATATCAATTAAAGTCAATTTAATTGCTAAAAAAAAAAAAAAACTGAAAGCAACCTCAAATTGCACTCTTAGACATGCTTTTTTCAACCTTGATGTTTTTAGCGAGGCAGGGGGCCAAACTGAAAATTCATACTAATATAAGTGCAAGTTATTTTTGGCTAATTATAAAATGAGAAAATTGAAGAAAAATGGAGATGTCTAGTAATTTAGAATGATAAGAATATTAGTACAATTATTTAAATATTTTAAATAAATTTTCGTGGTATTTTTATGAACAATATATATTGATTTTTCACAATCTCTCTTATAGAATATGAATAGTTGTTCATATTGATTAAGATCCAATAATTCTGTCAAGATAAGGTTAGAATATGACTGCGCAGAGGAGAAGTGGAGATTGACATGATCAGTAGAAAATGAAGAGAGATGATGAAGATAGTACCTGAACGTCCTTGAGCTTGTTGGCGTAGACTTCAGTAGCTAAAACTTTCTCACCGAACAACGAAACAGCTTCTTTAACAGACCTGAATGGCGCCGTGGTATCGATTTCTGCCCTCTTCATTGTCACGAATCCTTCCATCATCAGACAGAAAAACAGAGGAAAACAGGGGTACTGAAATGAAAGGAAAGGAAAGGAAAGGAAAGGAAAATGAAAAAACAGAAAGATGAAGAGGTTTGTTTTCAAGCAGAAAATATCTAAGGGGGAGAGGGGAGGGGAGGGGAAGGAGAAAGCTTCGTTTCTTCGCGTCCACTTCACTTGAATTCTGATGTGTTTGAAGTTGAAGCCGGTGTGGTGGTGGTGGGTATGGCAGCATTTGGCGCCAATTCTTTTGGCAAAAGAGAATATGACACTTCACCTGTGCTTAACAATTTCGAGGTCCCCACACTTGTATTTGTATGTCACACCCACACAAACATTATTTACATAAACTTTTAAATTTTTTAATCAACTAACTAACTAATTTAATTTAATAGTAACTTTTTTTCTCAGTAGCAAAAAATCGTATTAGGTTTTACATCCAATCCTTTCAACTACATCGATTATAAAATAAAAATTATTAAATTAAAAATTTTATTTTTTTAATTTTTATTATGATTACTTTTATATATTTTTATTTATTTTATTTGTATATGAAGTAACTCAAATTTAATGTTTTTTATTTTTAATTAAAAAAACTATTACTACATTATTTAGTTATTTATTTTGGATAAGTGATTTAAATTATATAATTCAAGGTAATTTAGATTGCATAATATTTTTTATTTTTAATGAAAAGAAATTATGATTACATTATTTAGTTATTTATTTTGGATAAGTGATTTAAATTATATAATTCAAGGTAATTTAGATTGCATAATATTTTTTATTTTTAATTAATTTAAATTTTTTATATCTAATTTTTTAAAATACATATAAATTTATATAAAAAATTATAAAAATAAATTTTATTTTTAATATTAATATCATATAAAATAATTAAATTACACTTTACCTTTCAGTCCACTAACGTTAAATCACATATAAATGTATTTCCCACCATAAGTCAACGGTTAGAATTTAGTTCCCTGTAAATTTGTTTAAAAAATAAAATAAATTAAAATAATTAAATTATATGGTTAAAAAAATTTTAAATCAACAATTTTTTTAACGTAAATTAATAGTGAAATAATATAATAAATATAACCAAGTGAATTCCTCTTTAAAATCCTTTAAATTGAAATTAGATCCAATTAAAGATTGATTTAAGGTAGTCACTTGTGTGTGCGCGATTTCGTAATCCTTCTCTGATAATTCAGCTCTCTCCGCAATGGTATTCCAAATTTGTAGCTGAATTTTGCTCATCGGAGTTGAGTTTTGAATGTTGTTTGATCTGTTCATTTTTCTTTCGGTTTTGCAGATCCGATTCATATTGTTGCAGAACAGGCAGGGTAAGACTCGTCTAGCCAAGTACTATGTTCCTCTCGAGGATTCCGAGAAGCACAAGGTGGAATACGAGGTATTCTGAGTCTCTTCTTGTTTATGGCGTTCTTCTTTTTGTGCGTTTTTATTCAGTCTTGTGAATTCGGCGATTTTTAGTTAGGTTTTTGAATTTGATTGTATTTACAGGTTCATAGGTTGGTAGTGAATAGAGATCCCAAATTCACTAACTTCGTTGAGGTTGGTAATTCCCCTTTCCGCTTTAATTTCTGTGATGATTTCATCCTAATGTATGGTGATTTCTTTATGCTTTGTTCTGTTACTAAGAAATTGTAACCCCCCTCCCCTCCCAAAAAAAAAAAGGGACCAGGATATTGATTACTTCCTTGTGCCTTTGAGTGAATATCTTTTTATTTTTATGTTGTTGTTGCGAATATTATCATGGACAATTTTGATGATAAATGTGGTGTTTGATAGTTCCGAACGCACAAGGTAATCTACAGGAGATATGCTGGGTTGTTCTTCTCGTTGTGTGTCGACATAACGGATAATGAGTTGGTATATTTGGAGAGCATCCATTTATTTGTGGAGATATTAGACCATTTTTTCAGCAATGTTTGTGAGCTAGACTTGGTTTTTAATTTTCACAAGGTATGTGAGCTACTTTTGCATTGCTGTTGCCTTAATTACTGTCATGAGCTAGACTTTGTCAAGAAGTTCCCTCTAGTTAAGCTGGACGCAGGCAATGTGATCCTGCCTTTTTTTGTCTCTGGTTGTTACCTTCAAATCCATATCCTTGTGGTGTGAATAATTCTATTATCATTTCATACCTATTAATGTTAGCTGCCTGTTTCAAGGATTTATTGAGTTTTGCCATGCTAATGATTTTGGATGAAGTTTCTGATGTTAACACTTGTAGTGCTCCCTTTTTCAAATTATGCTTTGCAATTTTTATCCCCTTGCAAATTAAAGGAAAGACTTTTTTATTTTCTACTTTGTTGGACCATACATGGCCATATTGATGATTGAGAAATCGCGACCGTGTCTGCTTGATTTGAATTCAAATGACATCCCATTTGCATTTGCTTCATTGTTTGTAGTGTTTCTTTCCAAAATGACTTATGGTCCTTTTCTTAATCTCTTGAAGGTTTATCTGATACTTGATGAATTTATTCTTGCTGGAGAGCTTCAAGAAACAAGCAAGAAGGTAAGAAATTTTCTTGACTTTTAATGATTTTTTCTGTTATTCATTCTTTGGGAACTGAGCTCATAACTTCTGATGACTGTATGTCACCTTATCCATCTTTTTCTTCATTGTTGTAACTCCTGTTTAGTATCCTTTTTACTTTATCGTCTTTATCATGAGTGAACATATATCCGATGCTATTTTTGCTCCTTTTTTCAATGCTTTTTCAGTTTTGCGCCTAGATTTGGTGTTTTCTGTATTTTCTTTTCCTGGGAAATAATAGGTTTTTTTTACTAGATCCCTATTTATGAAGGCAATTCAATAACTTCACAACTTGTAAAATGACAATAGAACTTGTCTTTTATGCAACTTGCAGGCTATTATTGAGAGAATGGGGGAGCTGGAGAAGCTAGAATGATGATGATGATTATTATTTAGTTAAATGTCAATGCAATCTGAGTAAAATTTCCATGCCAGATTGCTAGTTATTGTCTAGCCGTACTGTGATATTGTGCTCGCCTGTTTTGCACAGCCAATCCTTTTCTTGTTGGACAAGCACGCCCTCCTTAACTCCATTCGGTTTGTGAATGTTCAATGAGGTTCATGGATAGACTTTTGCTTGAGGAAAATTGGGTGTCAATTTTAAACTTAGTTTCTTATGGTACTTCAATATTTCTGATTATTTTTCATCTTCTTTTCAAAAGAAATCACATGCCATCATTTTTCTTTACCACTAAATAAAATTCATCTTTTAACCATACCACTGAAGAAAACAAGCATTTCATAAACTGAATTTAGTTTTTATTCCGGAACAAATAACAATATATAGAAATTGATACCATATCATTGCTTTCGTTCCTTATCTAAAGCTTAAAAGAGCATTTTCATTTCTAACTTGGAAAAGCAGGAACATGTCTGTATCTATATAAACGGTTTTATTACCAGAATGCACCCCGGTAAATGAAACAAACAGAAGGTAAGGATGAAAATCCCTCACAAAGTATATACAAAATGAACCTTTCTTGCATCTTTCATTATAAGTGGGTGGAAATGGCCATTGAAATGAGCTCATCAAATGTATTCTAGCAACTCTACATTTTACAGGAATTTTCTCCCAACCTGCAGTTTCTCCAGTACCATGAGTACCGGCAAGAAGTTGGTCAATTACATCCATATCAGGAACAGGGATTTTACCATAATTGATTAATTGACTACGGCGCCAGCACATAATTGATTAATTGTAGGACCATTCTACTCCCAACTTCAAAGGCGTTCATTGCATAGTAACTGCATTGGTAGTGCACCACCAGCACGAAATCCAGCCCCACTTTCTTCATAAATAAGAGGAAGATGATGGTCTTGCCTTTTCACCTTTGTAGGGGGCAATGATGAAGAAATAGGCATTAGAGGCTGCTGATGTTGAGGGACTGTGGCGTACTTGGGTCCAAGTGCATTTAATGACAAAGGAGAAGAGGGAATTATGGTTTGAACACCAGCTATTGGAGCAGGAGACACATTCTTCCCGTTTTTCCAGCTTGGAAATTGAGTCAAGGCTGTGGAAGTTCCGCTACCCCTGCAATGAGCTGCAAATTGGGCTGCCAAAAGACGTTGCTGTAGCTGTACCTGTTGTTTTCCCAAGTCTGGATGACTTGTATAAGAAGGTCCAAAGAAAGGGCTACTAAGATACGGAGGAAGCTGCAGCGGGCCCTACATTTATCAAAACATCAGGCAGAAAATGAGTTTTCCGTCAAGAAAAGAAAATTGATAGTAAGAAATGAATCGTGAAATAGAGAATATTTGTGTCAAAAAAAGCCAATGGCATACAAGCACCAAAGGCTTTCAATTAATTGCCAGTTAGTTGATCTGCATCATTGTCCCATTAGCCGGCAACCTAAGCAACAGTTTATTAGGTTTGGTGAAATATAGGGCAAGGTTCAATCAATTCACTCAACCTACCTTCGAAAGAGCAGAGGGGTAGAAAAATAACTTCAGTGAGAAATTTGTAAGGTTCTTAATTAAATCTACTAACAAGAACTGTAATTAACTTTGCAAGAGAAAATTGTAAATAGCTACAAAACCTGCTGTATGGATGCTGCTGCTACTGAAAGCTGATCTGAATAGGTAGAGGAGGTAGAATGAGCTTGGGGCAATGAGAAAGCCGCCAGTGACTCATGTTGAGGAAGTGAATGAAGGTAAGGAACTTTCTGCTGTGACAATGTTTCGAACGCATTTCCAGCTTTATTAGAACGACTATTAATATCTTCACCACCACCACCAGCCAACAAAGACAAGAAATCATACTGCCAGGAACCAGAGCTTGATCAGAAAATTAGAAAAAGAACCACAAGTAATCACAATGGTTTGAGCTTACCTGCTTGAGTGAAGTGTGCATCCCAGATGCTTGAACCATCTGTAGCTGATCCTGATGAAACTTTTTGTACTGAAGATAACTACTACTTCCAGCTTCATATGTATTTCTGTTGGTACTAAGACTGATACAAGATAGAGTTCCATTTATACCATTTCTAACACTATTCAAATCATTCGGAGGCATAACAACAGCTTGCTTTAATCCTTCCTGATGTTTCAATTCAATACACTCCACACTGTCTTTGCTTTCTGACATCTGTAAACTCTGAATCAGACGGCTAATATAAACATGAGCGGCACACCTCCTCATTGGTTTTCTATATGTGGTGACCTCAGAGACCTACAAATGTCATCCACCATGTACAATCATGTACTCAAAAAAGGCACATAGGCAAATTGCAGGTGAAACAGACAGCTGACACTGTAAAGTTGCAAATGCAATCTTATGGCAGAACAAGAACAAGCCATAAAAGTAAAAGTCCTCAATACCTTTCTGGCTGAAGTACCATTCTGTGATGAACTAGGCCTGGAGGAACACATTGCAGCATCCAGCCAAGCTGGAAGCTTTGCAGTGGAAGACCTGACATAGATAAGTACATTAGGAAAGGCCACAAAGATGGTTAAAAAGGATAGTACAAATTTTAGAGGAAAGAGAATTACTGTGAAGGGCCATGACTCCCAGCACAAAGGGGCACTGAGGAAGACAAGCCTGGCCACAATGCGACACCTTTTAATACAAAACAAGAGAATTACCACATAAGGATATATTAATATGAAATAGCAAATTACATATAGAAGCTCCTGAAATCTAAGCAAAAAAGTTTACCATTTTTTCTGGTCTCCTTGATCACATATTCTTGTCCCAGCTGGACTTCAATGGACGTAGCCTAAAAGTTACCCAAAGCTACAGCATTACTTGGAGCTCTATCAACCAAATTGACCTTGACTTTTAACTCAGAGATCATGCTTACCTTGAATGCAATCTCTGGTTTCCTCTCAGTAGGTGTGATGACCTGTTGCTTGGGCAGTTTAAATCTAACAAAAGATTGAAAACGTTTTCTTACTTCTTAGTAAGGACTGGGAACATTAAAAAAGAAATTAAGCAAAAAGTAAATAGAAAAGAAAAGAGAGAACAAAGTTTGTGTTACTCACCCAGTTTCCAAGCCTAGTTCAGGCACACCATGAAAGCTGCCAGGTGTGCTTGGTGGCTTTCTATCACTACTTTCAGTCCTAGACAACGAAGACATTGAAGCATTAAGACTAACTTGAGGAATAGAGCTATTGGGTTCCATGTGGAATGTTTTGCTGTCAGGCAAATCATGCTGTTCTTCAGTATTAGTTCCATTCAAAGAGTTGATTTTAACAGCTTCATTGGGAGACACTTCTAAATTAACTGAAAGGACAGCCTTAACAGCTTCTGGGGGGCAAGCTGAACTTGCTTCCTTCTTAACTGCAGAATATCATGAATCATACAACTTAACAAACCACAAGAAAACAATCAAACAAAAGTAATTCCAACTCGTAAGATGCAGATGAAGACCTTCAGTCGAAGTACAAGGACTTTCCACTGTCTCTGGTGGAGCTGAAGGTTTTTCTTCCAAAGATTCATTATCTAATTTATTCTTATCAATAGTGTCATTGTCAGGGAACATTCCTGCCAAAGCATACAAGGTCTCCACAACCTCTTCCTCATCTTTTGTTATTGGCCCAGAAACAGACAGTTTCGTGGACCATTCTGAGTCTCTTTCTTTCTACAAAAGCAATTCCAACTTCATAAACTAAAAATTCCAGCTTTAAGAGAACAATAACTAAACTTAACAGCTGGTTGTGATTGACTAACCGAATTCAGTTTAGGCTTATTTATACCATCCTTTTGAGGAGATTCCCCTCCAAGTGTATGGTTCAGTCTCTTTGTATCTGGTAAAGGTGGGGAAACAGATTCGCGATTGCGCTTCTTCATGGCTGTCATCGAACATATCCAAACATCCAACAATTAATGCCTACCAAACCTCGTCAGTTTTCTTTTTATGTCTTCCACTTTAATTTAGAAAAAAAAAAAAAAAATCGTTTAAGATTCACAAAAAGCTTCAGTATCTCCATTCTAAAAGCAAATTTCAACACAAAGAGGTCAAATTCTAAATACAATATATAATTATTTTGAAAGTACAAATATACACCATAAAAGTCGCGGCATCAACATAATACATAAAATTAGTAAGAGAAGTTAAAAGAAAAAGAATCTTTGTTTATGAAAAGAAAGAAAAAGCAAAAAGTTTAGCTTGCTTCAGTTCTAATCCAAACTTTCAAAACCAAAACAAAACGGGAAACTTCCCAGCAACACTATCAAATGCAACTTAATTTTAAAACGACAGGGCAACAGCTAATTAATTAAGCTCAAAAAGCAAAAACGAAAAAGTAGACTTCTCGCTTTAAAAAAATTAAATCCTTTTAAAAAAAAATTTGTTTAATCAAAATTTCCATCTCTGATTCACGAAACACATATGACTTACCTGAACGTAGCTTCCGTGGAACAGAGGCATGATCCACGACATTGCAGTCATCAAAAAACTGTAGAAATTGAATAAACAAAGAAGTGATTAAAACGAAGTTTAACAAATAATTCAAGGATAATAACTCCAAGAAATAATTCATTCTAAGTCTGCAGATAGGAAAAAAAACCTTTTTGGAAATCTTAAATCTCTTGCTGGTACCATTGTTGACGATAGACTGCGAATGGGAGGGACACTCATTTTCTCTATCGGATAAATCAGAACAACCCATTTCACTCTCTTCCTTGCTCGGACTTCCTCTACCATTAACAGCACTCAATTTCCGAACTTTCTCTTTCTTCGATTTCTCCAAAGATACAAACTCCCCAGAAACACCATCTAAACCTTCAAATCGCAACATGCAAGCACAAACAGCCAAGAAAGCGAGAACGAAGATGAACAAGAGACAGGCATTATCGTTAAGCTCTTATCACAATTGAAAAAAAAAAAAAATAAAGGAATGTACGGAAAACGACAAGAGCTACTAGCATGTGGGGTTTTAAGTAATTTACCAGAGAGGAGCTTGTGTCCAGATTGCTTATTAATCTGTCGCGAGAACCGACTCGCCCCACGCCTCATGTCTCGACTCTTGTCCATTTCTCTGATGATAATAATATTGCTAACATCTAGCGCCGCCGCTGATAACGGCTTCGATGGTTTCAAAAAATCGATCCAAATTCACTCTCCACAGACCCCTCAAAAAGCTACAACCAGATCTTTCCTTCCTCTTTCTCCTCCCAATCTGAGAGTTTCTTCAATTACCAAAAAGATGAAAAAAAAAAAAAATGTCAGAGAACTTCGCTTTAATACACTCTTCGTCCAATCCAGAAAGGAGAATTAGTACTACTAGAAATTACAAGAAAAAGTGAATTAGAACAGGAAATATAATGAGTTTTTTTTTTTTTTTTTTTAAGGATTTTGGAGTAGTTTTAAGCGAAAAGAAAGGCGGAAAGGAAAGCGAAAAAGAGGCGTTTGGGTTTTCCAAAGAAAGAGAAAATCAATTTGGTTGCCAGATATCACTCCGCCTTTTTCTCTGAGTTTTGAGTAAGAAGCTCGAAAGGATCTCCGAAGAGAAAATTACACCGGAGAGAGAAATAGGAAAGGCAAGGCAAGAGGTGAGCAGAGACAAAAAGAAAAACAAAGTGAGAGGTTGATAAAAGAAAGGAGAAAAGTAATTCGTTCCTCGTGTTCAGAGAATCAGGTTCTTCGTGAAATAAAGCGAAAGAAAGAAAAGAGAGAAATGCAAGCTAAAAACTCACCAAAAATAAATCCTAAAACAAAAGAGCAAGGAAAAGCTCTGTTAATTTTCCCGGAAAAAATTTCCTAGAAAATCAAACTAGATCTTACTCATTAAAACTCGAATTACTGAGAAACTTATTAATAAGACAGAATTTCCAGAATCGGACACTCAAAAGAAAAAAAAAAAAAAAAAAACTCATTGGAAATGAAACTGTATGTAAAATAAAAACAACTCCGAATACGAAATCGGTCGTATTTTGACCGGAAAACAACCATGAACGGCGAGAAAGCAAGCAGCGAGGCGCCGGAAAATCTTCTGAACATGTTGAAAAAGAAGCCAAACAAAAAAATCAACAAGAAATTCGCGAAACAACCTTGGAAATTCTCCATGGAAATCCACTGCTACTGTGACAGATTCACAGTATGAATGAAGCTAATTCTCCACCCTTTTTCTCTCTCTCTCTCTCTCTCTCTCTTTCTCTCTTTCTCTCCCCTCACAAACTCCCAAAAGACGGAAAATCCGAAGCCTGCACTCTCTTATATCGCTATTAAATACATCACAAAAACGGCCCCCTCTCTTTCTTTCTCTCTCCTCACATTTATACAGGAGTCTCGTCTAACGTCACCCCCCCTGAATCGACGGTGTCGGTTCCCTACCCACCCATGGCCGTCCGATCTCCACCGATGCATCAGACAAAGCTGTCCGACGTGTCATCCACGTCGGATCCTGGCTCGTACACGTTGCATCCCATGCACGACCTGAATTATCAACGGTTGTGATCTTTTCTAGTCACCGTAGGCTAATATTAGCCGTTGGATGGGTTTATTAACTGAGAACGCACTTTGTTTTCTGGAGGAATCGAGACGGTTGAATGTTGCGTGTTACTAATTTATTAGTTTGAATATAATTTTTTTAAATAAATTTTGAGTTTAAGTAAAAATAAGGGTTAAAATAATTTTTTTATACAGTTTGAAATATCTTAATTATAAATTAATTAAAATTTAATTTAATTTTTAAATAATAAAAAATTAATATAAAAATGTCACCCGTTTAAAATTGTGCAGGTGAAAATATTACTTCGTGTTGACTTTCTTAAATATAAATTTTAAAGAAAAATTCAATACGCTATATAAATGATGTTGAGTAATTAAAAATTTTTTTATTAAATAAATTTTTTTGATAAAACTTCATATAAGAAAAATAAAGTTGTTAATTATTATTTATATAAGTAATTTATTAAATTTTTATATAAAATTTATATTTAAAAATTAAAAAATTAAATTAAATTAAATTAATTAAAAATAAA